TTTTTTTTTTTTTTTCCCACATCGCTTTAGGTCAGCTGAAGTGGTTTAGTAGTTTCAGAACTTCCTCCAGTCAATGAGGTTGTTGAGGATTGTACAAGTTCTCGTGGAAGTGCCGACCTTCGCAGTGACATTGCAATTCTCTGACGAAGATGAGGTGAAGAAGTTTTACCAACTGCCTGTTCCAATAACGGCGTTGCCACCTCTGCCGTTCGAAGTAGACGATGAATACTTGATGAACCAAAAAGTAATGTGAGAGACACTTCATCCCAGCGACGTGCACTTGATGCTGCATGACGCATTAACATCATCATAACTTCATCATTACCATATCCAAGTGACTGAAGTGCATTAATAAGTACTGCTGTATCCATTGGAGAGAGAAATGTATATACTTCTACAAGACGATCCCCTATATGAGCTAAAACTTGTGGAATACGTAGAGAGAGTTTTGCCTTACCTGATACAATTTGTACTAAAGGTGCAGCATCCATCTCACTCCATTGTTCTCCACTAATAGCCATCATAAATCGTTTTACACTACGATGATAAGTAAAGCGTACTGCAGCGAGACTATGAAGCATAGCTCCAATACTTGTCGCCGAAAGTTTAACTGCCATATTGCTTTCCACAAGATAATCAAGGCATTCTTTCAAAATCTTATCTTGTTTAAATACTTTTTCTTCAAAAACTCCAAAAAAATATTTAAGATCATCAACACGAGTTGACTTGAGAATAGAAACATATTCTTTCGCTAACTTGGTTAAGGTTTCTATATCAGCTGATCGAGTTGCCACCATACGATTAATAATATTCCACCCTTCCTGTTGTAACTCTGTTAAGGGAGAAATAAAATTAGCAGGATCATTTTTATTCATCCATTCAGTAGGAGGTAAAGAAGATTCTCCCTTGATACCATTTTTACCCACCTCAAGTAAAAAATTGTGTACATTTGGGTATTTATCAAGAATATCTTCACCTAATGCCAAACACACGGTATCTGCAGCTTCACTACTATTTACAGATGGTGATGCTGATAAACATTTTGTATTCAAGTAACATCCTACTTTTTCATACAAGACAGCATCATTATAACCAAGTTGATATAAACTTTCAATAGCCGCTAAAACACATTTTACTTCCATACCATCTGCAAAACCTCGTTGTAAATTTTCCACACAAAAACGAAGAAATGTATCCATATCTTCCTTTTCCAATTCTTGATCTACTTGCTCTTCCAAAGAATGAGCCTCTGGATTCTGTACAAGACCTCTTACAAAACATTTTAAAGCGGCACAAAGTTGAATCATTGGAATACCAGAAGCTGTTTTAGCAAATTCATTTCGAAGATGTCGATAAACACATTTATCCTTCATATTATGATCTCCAAGAATTAATAGAAAACGAAATGTCTGTAATGTGGGAAAGTGAAGACCTTGTTGAGCAGCTTCTCGCATTATAGATAAACCACAATTTCGAGTTTCATCCATATTGACGTTAAGAAGACTTGGTATAATTGAAAAAGGAGGATTTTCATCTGCAACAATATCTTCTAATTTATCAGTAATATAATCTACACATAGTTTAACCGTGGAGATATATTCATTCGGTCGTTCATCATTTAATGGAAGTAGTGTATCTAAAGCAAGAAATCTTGATATAAAAGATTGAATATTATCTACAGAAGTTTCTCCTTTAAGACCACCTTCTTCTATAGATAAATTTAATAATTCTTTTACTTCTAAACTTAAAAATGCCATCATTTCTGAGATTTCTCTTAAAAGTTCAGGTCGTATTTGACGAGGAATTGCTTTAAGAGCTCTACATAATATCATAACTGTCTCTTGATCTAATTCTTTTCCTTCAATTATTCGTTCTGCTAAACATTTAACAGCATCTGGACTAATCGCATCCATCTCTTGATAACAAATAAAGCTAAATAATTGTACAGCACTAAATAAATCACTTTCTTCTGCAAAACGAATAGCTTCTTCCTGTAATGCTATAGCCATCGCGCTATGTCTAAAATGAACCTTATTGACACAAGCACATATTTGACCAATTGCTGCTGGTGATAAAATCTCTGCAAGTGTGACAACACGTTCTGCAGCTGCCTGTAAAGAAGGGGATCGATTTAACTCTGGTAATGAAGTTAAAATGACAAGTAAAATAGGAAGTTCCGTTTGTGATGCACTTCTCACATGTGCATTCACAAGTTCTTCTGTGGCAACTGCAAAAGAAGAAGGATGACGTCCCCATCGACTGGCATGCGCAAGAGCAATACGATAATCATGTAAATCCCATTTTTTACTCTTCAGTCCAGCCAAACAAAGTTGAATTGCCTGTTCCCAAATAACATCATCACATCCCTGCCGTGGAAGAGAGCGGAGTAGCAGAGAAGCCCGTCTTCCGTGTGTGGACTCTGCGGGATCAATGGGAACAGCTTCCATGACGGTAACGATGGTGTCGGGATCTTTACGGCAAAATCGTTTAAATGAGGTGATAATAGACTTTGACTCTTTACGGTCCACGTATGCAGATAAATCCAACAAGGCTGTCATTGCACGACGCACATCATCATTACTTGTAAATATCGGTTTTCCACATCGCTCCACCAACCACTCGAGTTTGGTAGGCAACATGTGAAGTTTAAAAAATAAAAATAAATAAATAAGACGTGTTTTTTTTTTGTTTTGTTTTTTTATCCTCAGCAATACAGAAACAAAGAAAGAAAAAAAAGAGATAAAGAAAGAAATAGAATCCAGATTTGTTCACATTTTTTCTTTAGTAATAATAATAATAATAATATTATTTTTTTTTTCTGTATTTGACTCTATTTCACACAGACACAGATAATACGTATACATGTACATATATATACATATAAATAAAAATATATATATATAATTTCTTTTTACGTACTACAGTGAATTACAACTGAAGTGTGTTGTGTATGATCTTTTTTCTTTTCTTTTCTTTTTCTTTCTCTTCTTCTATCCCAATATAGTCTTCTTCTTTACATACACGGTTCTCTTCCTCTTCTCCTTCCACATACACATACATACACATATACATTATGGAGGAAGTAATCCAACTACATCCTTAAGATCAACATGTTGACCCATACGTTTTGCTTGCAGGAGAACAGCATCTCTGAGTGCGGCATTTCCACGGGCTATTCCAATACTTACACGAGCAATATCTACCACATCTGCACAACCCGCCTCACCTCCCACACGGTAGGCATGTTCATAGTAAAATAATGCGTGATGGTGATCTCGAATGAGTGAATAGAGTTCACCAAGAAGTAAGAGACAAATAGCCGCACCACCCTTATCACCTCCCAAACTACATTTCTCTAAACATTGCTCTAAACTTGTTTGTGCTTCCCGCATATTACCCATACGCATATAAACAAGTCCTTGATTTCCAAGTGTTATAGTTTCTAAAAGACTATCTTCACATGTGCGTGCATTAGCCAAGGCATCTTCAAATGCGGATTCTGCAAAGTTTAATTCCCCAAGAGCCGCATAACTAACACCCATATTAATTTGTGCTACTGCCCGAGCATAACATCCACCAAGAGATTCTTGTCTTTTATGATGTAAGAGTGACATTTTAAATTCCCGCAGACGATAGTAACAAACACCTAAGATATTATGACAGAATGCAATACCACGAATATCAGCAATAGATTCAAAAGCCTGTAATGCCTTGGCGAAATAAGATCTAGCCAGTTCCATATTTCCACTATTATAATGTAAAGAAGCAACCGTACAAAGAAGATAACCACCTTCTAATGTATTTCCAGCACGAATAGCAGATTGTGCACGTGCAATGGCATCTTTTAATACTTTCCGTTGAACTGCATTATTCTCTTCCATTATGCCTACACCTGGACGTGGTTCCACCCAATGCATGGGAATAGATTCCGTTCCCTTTAGAAGTGTCACCACGCGTCTGGCTAGTGGGAGATGTGTGGGTGGATCCTCCAGTGGTGGGGCGTGGAATTCCTCTGGTGTGATGAAATGCAACGGCACATCCAATGCACTTTCCTTCGCATGCACAATCATCACTTCCATGCGGAGAACTTCATCGCCGCCGTATTGACGTTGAAAGGGGAGTTGTGGAATGACCTGCGCGGGGGGTTCACTGCGGTCTGTGAAGCGATGGGATTTATTCAGTTCAATGTACCGCTGGACTGTGCGTAGTTCTGTGGTGCTGAGAAGACTGTGGGAGGCGGAGGGGAGGATGGTGTACTTTTTCCGTGTGTTGGAGATAATCGTTCTTTCCTCCTTTTCCTGTTCTTCCTCTTCTTTTTCTTTTCCTTGTTGTTGTTGTTGCTGTTTGAGCTTTAGCAACAGTTCATCGGAAATTTCATCCATGTATGATAATAATAATAATAATAATAATAATAATAATAATAATAATAATAATA